GTAATCAGATATGGTAACAATATTCATTGCACGGACGAATGGTAGCTTTATAAATGTGTAAAATGAAGTCTGACGAGAAAAGTTTTCTGGCACGACCCAGTGAACCAACTTTCCTTGCCGTAAATGTAGCAATTGATTCGATATAGTCGCTCTACTTCATGTCATGTGGAAAACGTAAGACCAAAAGGCGCAAACAGTTCCTCTCTGGGAGATTCCAATCGGTCATCTCTGTAGTGACTAAATAAAAACAGTTTTGGCATTACTTGCTCCTGTTAGCCACCGATTGGAGGTCTTTTCAAAAGGAACCAGAGAGCCATTTGTTGTAAATTTTGGAAAGAAAAGGAGGCAGCCAAGGAATACATGTCTTTAAGACGACAGTAAAGATCTTGTCACATTCGATTGCCTTGTTTTGCTGATGATGTTTGGATATTGAAATGTTGTTGCCGCTGATTTTTGGTCGTTGAAATGATGTTATTATATATATATATATATATATATATATATATATATATATATATATACTAGACTCTCCCGTCGAATTCGACGTATGAGGGTCAAGCAGATCAGTTCCTAGGAAACCGACAGCCCGACAACAGCACATGAGATTTGATTATAGTGGTGAAGGTTTCGTGCAGGACCATCCTCACTTTTTGAAGGGCCGAATACAGAGACCTGGTGCACTACGTGCCACAAGGTCTCCAGACGACCCTCCGCAGGTTTTGAATTCAGAGTTGTCCTTCTCCTAGACCAGTTGCCATCCAAGGCTGTAGAACCCAGTCTGTCCTGCTATTTACCCATAGCTGGAGGGAGAACAAGAGGATTCACACCTTTCTCAAGGGTATTAGCACATAAGTGAATGTAATGGATTCGAATGGAATTCAATCTCGGTTCTGCGATTCCTCAATCCAAGCCGCTATCTTTTACTCCACCGTGCCTATATATATAATTATGTCGGAAACCAGAGGTTATGTGGATATCACTCAGTAGAGACTCCGTTCTGGGGAAGAAATCTGGCAGAGCCACTCCAGATGAATCGTGAATGGAGTTAGAAGAGGACCCCCAAACAAAGCACTCTACCTTATCTGCAATAGATATCAATATTTCAAATTGATTGAGGTGAGACTGTGGATTTTCTATTGTTTAGCACATTCTAGTAACCGCTTGAACCAAACACGTGAGAGAGTATTCGGTTTCTGATTCTATTATTAAGTAGTGACTTTGCTTCTTTAGGGACACGTTTGCACTTATTGCGAGCAATGACAAAGAGACGTCTGTTACAATCAGATCTATCACTCTGGTACAGCCGGAAGAAATGATTTATGTGGGCTATAGTGGATGAGCAGGCAGGTGAGGACCAAGGAGTTGATGGAGATTTCACTTGGTATTTCCGAGCCCTAATAAACGCGGTGATAGTTGAAATATATTCTGTTAATAGTAGATTCGTGGCTTAGGGAAGGGCGAAAAGAGATATCGACAGACACTACCGTGTGATTGGAGTTGTCAGTAGAACAGAGTTGCAATGCCAGCATGGGTCCGGATGGAAGAGATCAAATAGAGAAGCGTGTCCGTCAGAATTACTGCTGGAATGAAGACGGAAAATGTGACACTAAAATCAGAAGGCGCATTTGGGATAGCGAAAGATGCCTTCCAATGGCTAAGCAAAGTATTAAGAAAGAGAAATACGTATTGAACTCTTACGTTGTATCAGTCCTTCTATATAGCAGTGCATGCTGGGAAGTGTCTTCGCAGCTGAAATTTGAACTTAAGTTTACGAATTTTCCAATGATATTCTTTGTCTATGATCTCAACCTGATCCCACAGAGGGCAATGATCTCCCTTTTCTCTCCATATGTGGTCAGCCTGATTTTTCCACTTCCCCTCGTGTTACAGCTTTCTGGTGTTCTTGAAGCCTTACCTTGAGGGGGCGGCCTGTCTCTTCTTTATATTCCTTTCCGTAGCTGCACGGGATAGCGTACACACAATCTTTAAGTCCGAATAATGTAAATAGTGTACATAATACCTCATCTCAGAAATATAGACAGATGCAGCAAGGATGAAATTTTAGAGAAAATAAAAATAAAAAGGACATGTATATTTAAACTCAAGAAGAGGCAGTTGAAATTTATGGGGTACAAAGAAGAGAGAGGGCTTGGAAAATTTGATATACACAGGACAGATTGATGGCCATAGTGACAAAGAAAAATAGCGCCTAACCGACCTAGAGAGTTGGAGTAAATGGATCGTGGAAGAGAGGAGAGCTAACAAAAAGACAAAATTTATTAAGAGCTACAAAAGATAGGAAATTGTGGAGAGCCATGATCACCAACATTCTGAAGGGATATAGAAAAAGAAGGTTGAAATTAAACATATTTAACGTAGGTCAGTGTTCGAACCCATATAAGCCATATTTCGAATACCGATTTTCAATGCAAACGAGTAGGTAGACAGGTTCGTTTACCTTTTTTCGAAAATTGGCTTCGCATAAATGTCTTAACTCATTTTCCACATTTCCAATTCGGTTAAGTTTAATAAATATCGATGTATTATATGTTTTCCTCTTAAGATTTTATTCTTTAAAAATAGCAATAAAAAAAATAAATTTCTGTTTGCGTATGCTTGCGTGGGTGGGTGCCTTTTTTTTGTCCTGTGTGTCCGCGACGATGCTGTAAAGAATTACACTATCGTGAGTTTCAGGGATGATTCTTCAATTGCGTGCATGCCGCCATACAAAATGTCTTCTTTTCTTGGAAAGCAACTAATTCAACTTCTTTCCCCGAAGGAAGCACAAATCAAAAAGGCAAGCCTCTCTTTTTTTTTTAATGTTAGCGAAGAACTTTTATTTCTTTGTTCTTTTTTATGTGTATTTTTTTTTCTTTTTTTTTGTTATTATTTGACACATTCCAGAAAGACTCGAATTACGCAGTAGAATTTTTGTTCAACATCAAATAAAACAAAATTGCATGATAACACAGTAACGCCTACATATTCCTTCTCCGGCTTTATTTTGTTTCGGATGCTTTTTGCAATTTCAGAATTATGCTTAACGTCTTTCCGTAAATTGTTTACAGCCGATTTTTTTTTCATTTTGTTTTTGGGCTGTTTTTTATTTATTTATTTTTTCCATTTTTAAATTGGAAATGAATTGCTTCTTTCCGATACATATAATGATCTTGTCAACGAGAATTTATATACAATAATAAAAATTATTACAAAACTAGAAACGACACTGGTTTCTTTCCCGAGGCTCGTCTTGAGTCACACAATCAAAATACAACTTGAAGAATAGACTCCATTTGCGGTTTTTAAATCGCATGAGAGTCATGAATATGTTAAGCATGACGCAGTTTTATTTAATTTGTACTGATTCTAAAATTGCTCCATTTAAATGGAATTCCAAGTTTAATGATACATTTTATTATAGTTTTTTTCTTTTCTTTTCTTCTTCCATTTGAACGGAGATATTATACGGCTTTCAATCAATATTTTAGACCAGGAATCAACGATCGGACACGATCTCGAATCTCAGTTATACAACATTTTCTAGACTGGCTAAAGAGCCAAACTTGAAGTTAGGTTAAAATTTATTAGAGCTGAACTTCCCCATGTATTCTAATTATCTTATTTCTAGCCCAATCTAGAAACCCTACGAGCAACTTCTACTTAATAAAGACTTTTCCAATCTCCTTGATTTAACTGTCTTTGAACGCAAAAACATTCTCCTTACTTTTAAGTAGGTATACAGTGAAAAACAAAACGTTCGCCAAAATGTATTGAATTTATTATGCATATTAATAAGAGTATAATACTTACTATAAATAAAAATATTTGTTTTTCTTTTTTTAACACATTTGAATCTTTCGAGTTGTTACTTTATTTGCTTTTACATATATTTGTGCAGTGTCACCTTTGCTCGAATTCGGCTTGCATTACGGCCCGACGACTGATTGATTTCGTCTACCTAAGATCAAATCACAACGTGGGTAGGTTAGACTAGAAATCAAAGCAGTTACTTTGGTAACCAGACGTTGGAGGCGAGCTGGGAACGACAAAGCTGATACCGAATTTAACCAGCTTTCCATCCGAATCAACCAAGGGTTAGAACGTCACATTTGGCGCCGCAACCAATACCAAGTCACATTGGTCGTCACAGGATAGCACGGGGGCAGAGAGGCCGGGGTGACGTCACATTATTATGTATATTAATAAGAGTATAATACTTACTATATACCTGAAATTTAATAATCATCTTCTAACTTCCGTATATAAAGCAGCAAATGCTGGACAATCTCCTCAAAGATGAAGAAGAAGAAGCAATAGAAATGTGCTTCTACAGAAAGATGCTGAAAATATCATGGACCGAACATGTGGACAAAGACGAGGTTTTAAAAACATGGAAAGAAAAAGGAAACTTATACTTAACATCAGGAAGAGGCAGTTAACATTTCTGGGAAACGTAATGAGGAAAGAGGGTTTGAAAAATCTGATACTCACAGGGCAGACTGAGGGAAAAAGGAACAGAGTAAAGCAGCGCGTAACATACTTGATAAGCTTGAGTGAATGGATGATAGAAAAGATTTGGGGGGGGGGGAGTAACAAAAATATAAAACTAATTAAGAGCTACAAGGGACAAGAAGATGTGGAGGGCCATGATCACCTACGTCCTGAAGATAGACGGCGCATAAAAGAAGATATACAGGGCGAGTCGGATTCGAATTCTGTGGGTGTTGGAAAAAGCTTGGACCAACTGGTAAAATAGCTAACGAGAAATGCCTTCATCCATTTTTCAAATGTCATGACTCTTCACAGCAAAGGCGATCATGATTCTCCACGGATCCTTTTTAATATCTCTGAATTGCGAAGTAGTTACTCGTTGTTTCCCCACAGTTTGGAATTAAGAGCAGCCCTTCTTCTCGACTGCTTGCCAATTAAGACTAGAAAACCCAGTTTACCTTACTATTTTTACCAACATCTGAATCGACACATATCAATTGCAAGAGGCTTACGACAATATAAGGTTGAAACACCGGCTCCCGTACGATCACTTAAGTTAAGCAACATCGAATCTGGTTAGTACCAAGATGGATGATCTTTTGGGGATACCAGGTGCTATAAAATTGGATGTGCGGGTGGTGTAATGGATAATGGTATGGAATTGTTAATGCGAGAACAGAGTTCCAGTTGCCATTGAGTTCGTTATATTCACTTACGCGCAAATGCCCTTGGGAAAGTTATGGATCCACTTCTACCCTCCCCAGCTATGGGTTAATTAGTAAGGCTTGTATCACTAAACTTTTATGATCTCCCAAAAATATTTTACAATATAAAATATTTTATGGGTTTAAATAACCTGCAAAGGATTGATAAGACACAGAAAATCAATCAATCAATCAATCAATATATATATATATATATATATATATATATATATATTTGAATGATAACTCTAACATTTTAGGCATTTAAAACAACATGCCTAGCCGCATACACAATTCCGGAGAATCCTCGTTGAAAACACAACTATACTTAAACATGAAAACAATAAACAAAAACTAAAAATTCTTGAAGCTATATACCTAAAACAGTTGAAACCTAACCTGAACAAAATAAACTATGAAATCTTCACAAATATTCTTAAATCCCTATAATTGATAACAGAAGCTATTGGTTTATACCAACGGCCTCCCATACTTAATACTTCTCGAATTCACTCTCGCGTGGTCATGTGTGATGTCATGAGCTGCGGTGCAATTTTCGCTTGCAGCGTCTCGTATGCACGAGTTTGTCGTTGCTTGGAAATCTTCCATGAAAACAAAAACAGACTATCATTATTGTTTTGTCCGTGTATTGTTTAATATATTGTAATGTAACTGTCATCTTTGGTAATGGCTTATGTAAGCCGAAAGCTGAGATTTAAAAATATGGATCAATATTGTGATTTTCTTTCTTCTTTTAATGATAATGTCATTAAGCTTATCAGACGATATGAAAAAAAATTACATAAAATAAATAGACAAAACTTGTCTATATTATTTAATGATACATGCAGCAATGAAAAAATACTGCCTAAATACACACACAATATATATATATATATATATATATATATATATATATATATATATTTGATTTGTACTAAATTGAACAACAAAGACTATATTGGAATTTGAACTCAAAGCAGCGTCTCTTGGGAAGAAGCCGTCCAAATGGAATTTAGTTCTTACCATTTTGGTTGAATTCCCAGGGCCAATTGGAAAGACTGGTGGAATTTTTTAGTTTCTGATATATAGAGATATATTCACCACTTCCTATTATTAAAAATATTAAGGCACTTTCTCTTCGTCCATCTGTGAACATCTTTGTATTTGGAGACTTTAATGAGAACCATGCCACGCGACTTAAACATTCTAAAGGTATTGATGTTGCCGATATTCAGACATTAAATTTTTTCCATTGCCCTATCCCTTACTCTAATCGTGGACTTCTCTATTTGTTTTCCTAGCAAAACCGAGCAACATACTTCTCTACTTGATTTATTTCTTACCTCCTCTCCTCGCTCTTGCCGAGTTTCACAACACTGACCTCTTGGTAACTCGGATCACTTTGTAGTATCTATTAATATTTCGTTACAATCATCTATTAAACATGAACCTCCGATTAAAAGGATTTCTTTCCGTCACCAGCATGCTGATTGGGAATCAATCCATGATTTTCTTAGTGACACGCCTTGAACTGACATCTTTAGCGTTCCAATTGAGAATTGCGCCACAGGGGTTTCTTTTGGGGTCAATTCCGGTATGGATGCTTTCATTCCTTCTCAGAAACACCAGGTGAAACCTCAATCCTCTCTATGGTTCATTCCATTATGCACGGCTGCTTTAACCCACAGGAACCACTATTTTCAACTATACCAGTGTGACAGCACACGTCACAACAGGCCACAAAAATCTCCTAAGCCGGCCAAGCATAGAAATGAATAAAATATGGGAACCAGTAATACGGAGTGTTAGAGAAAAGCATTAATAAATGTTAGAGAAAAGCATTAATATGTGTTATGGTCCAAGTTCCTTGTACCACAGTGATGGTCCAAGGTTAGAACCAATGAAAGAATAACACGAACACAGGTATAGAATACAAAGATATATTGCAACAGAAATATAATACAAAGAAGTAGAAGTATTAGTAATGACTATCAGATTTGGTTAGAGTGAACTATGTTGTCTCGACCAGTGTCACTATTCCAATGTCCTTACAATGTGCTCTCAATTATCTCTCCTCATCTTACAATCTCCTCATACCTCTTGAGAGGCGCAGTATTTATAATGTCAGGAATATTCCATTATTATTATGGGTAAGTTCCCATAAGAAATAACAACAAAAATAATATGAGCTCTGATAAAAAAAAAAAAACGTTACTGAGACATTACGTCTATAAGTCCCCAAAATTCATATACTGATGTCCTCAAGGACACATGGATCAGTGGATAGAAGCATTGGTTGGATCCAGTGATTTGACCGTAAGGGTTGTGCGTTCAATAACTGGTTTGGAAAGTTGAGTTAAAGAATAACTGAGACATCCGAAAGAGGCATGGCATAGGAACTAGAATAGTCTACCCCGGTGGACGAAATAAAGGTTTCAGTTCGAAATTTCAATCCTCTGAAGAAGGGAGGAGCGCACAACGGCCGAAACGTCGTAAACTGTCAATAAAGTTGTGGACAACAATCCAAACAATGTAATTAATTACAATACATCATAAATCATAACTAGAGACAAATAAGAAACTGTTAGCATAGAACTTACGGTTACATCTGGCTATGTCTACTGTAAAATGACGAGAACTTGCCAACTACTATGCTTAAATTCATAAAATCTAAGTACCAAAGAGGAAATTTAATCAGAACATAAAAAATATTTATAGAAAAGGGAATCTACGTGATGGCGGTAGGAATGTGATTGAGGTCGTGATGATTCACACCAGTCTGTACAGCTGATTTAGCTAACAAGAACCACTATTTTCGGCTATACCAGTGTGACAGCACACGTCACAACAGGTGCCTATTCACTACTTCTCGTAATAACTATAAGCGTATCCTCAAAGGAGCTAAGTCATTGTTTGCCCAGAGAACGAGGGTCCGCATAGCCTCTAACAACTTTAGCTTTCGTGATTACTGGCGGCTCGGTAATAGGGCATTAAATAAGTGCAAGGTGTCTACCCCACTTCAATTTGAGTTATCATCATCCACTGATGATAAAACTGAATGCTTTGCCCGTAAATTCTCCTCAAACTCTTGACGCATCTGGAGTATGCCTGCCTAACTTCCCACTTAGAACAAAATCTCTACTGAATGATATGCATATGACCCCTTTCATGGTTTCTGCTTTCATCTCTAATCTTGACTCCCACAAAACATGTAGACGCGATGGTATCCCTGTAATACTCATTAATCAATGCCTCGCTCCCTCCTGCTTTTCTGCTTGCTGGAATCATCGTATGTTGTTCCAGTTTTTAAGAATTGGTCAACCGTTTTATCCATTCAGCTATCGGCCTGTTGGCCTTCTACCTCTTTGGGGGAAACTGCTAGAGGCCTTAATCAATGCGGAATTGGTTCATCATCTCTCATAACTTGGCCTTTTCTCGGACAAGCAATACGGCTTTCGTTTCCCTAGATCAACTGTTGATGTACTAACGATTATTGCGGAAATAATCTGTTATGCTCTAAATAAAAACGATGAAGCCCAGACTGCAGCTTTGGACATACAGGTCTTTTCCACAGGCTGAAAACGTCCATACACATTTTTGGACTGATTCTGTCTTTCCTGTGAAATGAAAGTTATCCTGAACGGCTACTCGTCTAAATCCTTTCGTACTAACTCGGGTGCCCCCTAGGGCTCCACCCTTGTTGCTACGCTGTTTTTAATTTTCACCTTAACGATCTTCCGATGACATCAGCCCTCAACATCTATGATGACGTCACAGCCATTTACTACTGCCTCGATAGTGGCAGCTGATGTCCAAACAGACCTCACGTCCGTAGTTAACTGAAGAAAAAGATGGCGTCTTAATTTTAACGCCCCCAAAACTAAACTTCTCTCCATAATCATCTGAGAGACCCCCTTCTCTGCCTTCCATCGGCATGGCTGATGCTAACCTCCAGAAAAGGGGCTCGTTACGCCTTTTTCGGGTTAATGTTCTCAGCTGACATGAAGTGGAAAGACTATATTGAATCCATTGTTATGTCGGCTGCTAAGAAAGTCGATTCACTGTGTCGTTCGCGACAGTTTTGCTCACCGGAATTTATCTTACATACCTGTAAGGCTACCATTCGTCCATGCTTAAAAAATTGCTGTCACGTGTGGTCCCGTGTCCCTGTTATTTGTCTTGAGCTCATTGATAAGATCCAAAGAAGAGTCAGCAATATTATTGGTCCTGATCTGGCGGTTCGGCTTTCTTCACGTAAGGTTGCCTCTCTGTACCGTTTTTATAAATGCTTTTGTGGTAATTTTTTCCGGATGAGCTCTTCGCTATGGTACCTCAACTTAATAAATTTAAGTGCAGAGTATTAGACTGGCATCGAGATCTCATCAATTGATAGTTAAACTGACTAGATGTAACCGTAAATTCTATGCTAACAGTTTCTTTTCTCCTATTTCTCACTTGTGGAACTCCCTTCTGGCTCCATGCTTTCCATCCAAAATTTAAATGCAATGTCAATCGCTATCTATTGCCTTCCTGGTTATTTTTTGTCTCTTTCTGCTCATTATTAACGTTTCTCTTCCTAATTTTCTCACACCCTGTAACCCCTTGCATGCTAGTCGTTGTACTCCCTTCGTTGGTGGGGGGGGTGATACCAATTTACGTAAATTCAGCATCACTCATGAATTGGTCTGTAGTAACTCTAAAATGTCACGTTTGAGAAAAACACATTTTATGGTTTGGCGTGGAATTCTTTTTATGCTTCCGATAAAACAAAACTAATGAAGGTTATTTCTCCATCGCCTCGGTAATTTTAATTAGTTGCAAATGTAGATGATTAGAATTTTAATTAATTTTGCGTATATTTAATTAGATAAGGGATAGCCAGGCAACTATTTGTAGACGGAAAAATGTTA